CTTTATACCAGGTCAAGGAAACAATGCATATATTGGTGTACTTTACTACAGGATTTGAATTTGTATGAATTTATTTGTTACTTTATATAAAGTAACAAAATTGATGTTACTTCATTTTATTAACAGGGAAGATGCTTGTTTGCCAGTGGTAGTCCATTTGGGCCAGTGAAACTCAAAGATGGGCGAGTCTTTATACCAGGTCAAGGAAACAATGCATATATTTTTCCAGGTAAATACATTATTTATGTTTGTAATAGTTAATTACATAAAAATACTTCATGGAATTTTTTGCAATTTAAGATTGAAAAACTAAGCAACAGTTATTTACAGAATTTTAATATGTACATACAGAGATACTCAAAGAATTGAGCAAATTCCAACTTGTTCTGTTTTCTCTGAAAATTTATTCATATTGTTAACTTGTTTTTATTATAGAAATAATATGGTGCATGATCCATAAAATGCAAAGAAACAGAATAGTATAAAATAATTTGGCTCGCTGTATCTCCCCTTGGTGCCTCCTTATCACATTTCTCAGATACAGCACTGTCGGTGGTTTGCTTTGAGTTTTTCTGGTGGTTACCCTACACTGATTCCCCTTTATTGATACATAGGAGTGTCCCACTGTGAATACAGGTAATGGTACACAGTATCTTGTAGTACCTTGCTGTGTCTCTCTACTGCTCAGTTAGTCTTACTACTTTTAATTTTTCTAAGTAGTTACTTTTATCTTTATATAACATACTTAAAGAGCTTTTTGTTAGCTCTGAATATTCAGAATCATGATTCTATAAATGATTTAGCTTTTTGTTACCTTTTGAATATTCAGAATCATTATATGTTATTATATGTTAATATAATCATTATAATAATCATTATATGTTATTATATGTTAATATAATCATATAATAATCATTATATGTTATTCACCATGCAAACAAGAATGTGATTTGATAAATATGCTAAAGTATGCAGTTTTATATAACTAAGTTTTTGACACTCAAAATCTTTCAAGTAATCAAGTATAATGAATCCTCCTTTAATTTATTTTTTGTTTGTTTGAGATAGAGCCTCACTCTGTTGCCCTGGGGAGAATGCCATGGCATCATAGCTCATAGCAACCTCAAACTCTAGGGCTCAAGGGATCCTCGTGCCTCAGCCTCCCAAGCAGCTGGAACTGTAGGCGTCTGACACATCACTCTGCTAGTTTTTCTGTTTTTAGTAGAGACAGGGTCTCACTCTTGCTCAGGCTGGTCTCCAACTCTCTGACCTCAAGCAATCCACCTGCCTCGGCCTCCCAGACTGCTACGATTACAGGTGTGAGCAACTGGGCCTGGCATCCTCCTTTAATTTCTTACCACTTTTCTTAATTTCTTCATACTCAGAAGTAAACTATATCTTACATCCCGTGTTGTTCTGTCTCCTGACCCATGTGTGCTATTATTCCACTCTTTCTCTGTGTCATGTTTCTAGAGTACATCTTTGAGAAAGCTTTTTCTAAAACATGGATGAAAACTGCCTGTATTTCCATATCTGAAAATGTCTTATTTATTTTGTCCTTTCACTTAATAGTTTGGATCAGTGTCAGTTTGTAGAATGAAAGTCATTTTCCTCAGACCTTTGAAAACCTTCCATTCACTTCTCGTGGCCAGTGTTGCTGGTGAGAAATCTGATGTCAGTGAGATTCTGATTCCTTTGTACGTACTAGCTTTTTCTCTCTCAAAATCTTTAAAATTTTCTCATTAGATATCAAAATGTTACTGGGATTTTTGTATGTTTCATTTCAAGTCCTTTTTTCTTTCTTTTTTATTATGGAAAATATCAAACATATACCTAATTAGAGAGTATAATTGAATTAAGTCCTATATTCCATTCTCCCACTTTTTTAGCAGTTATCAACATGTAGCCAATCTTGGGAGGCAAGGGACAGAGTCGCCTGAGTCAAGCGACTCTGATAAAAGTGAAGCTGTCACTCTGGGGAGAGTGTCATGACATCATAGCTTACAACAACCTACAACTCTTGGGCTCAAGCAATCCTCTTGCTTCAGTTTTTTTATTTATTTATTTATTTATTTATTTATTTTGAGACAGAGCCTCAAGCTGTCCCCATGGGTAGAGTGCTCTGGCGTCACAGCTCACAGCAACCTCCAACTCCTGGGCTCAAGCAAGTCTCTTGCCTCAGCCTCCCAAGTAGCTGGGATCACAGGCACCCACCACAACGCCCAGCTATTTTTTGGTTGCAGCCGTCATTGTTGTTTGGCGGGCCCGGGCTGGGGATTCGAACCCGCCACCTT